CATAGTCAGGGGACATTTTTTCTTGTTTGTTGTTGTTGCTGTTGCTGTTGCTGTTGTGGTTGTTGTTGTTGTTGCTGCTGCTGCTGTTGTTGTTGTTGTTGCTGTTGTTCTTGTTGTTGTTGTTGCTGTTATGATTATTGTTGTTGTTGAACATTATTAATTCTAAAGAATAATTATTGTTGGGGCCCCTGGTGCACGGCCCCCCTGCGCCGCCTAGGCCGCAGCTACATTTTCATCATTTTCGTGAGGAAGCCTCAGGTAATACGATGTCATCAAGATCCGGTTGTTTTGTTGTAATCCGTTTTCCCTTGCAAAAAACACTATAAAATGACATTTCTTGTTCTAATATAATCAAATTTCAAGAATCCCTTGCAAAAAATAAGGTAAAGTGGACATTCGCGCGCGCAAGACGAAATCCTTCCAAAAGCTTAGTGTTCGGAGCGATTTTAACATAAAAACATCAAAAAACCAATGGTTTTTCAACAAAAAAATGTCAAAATCTCATCCCGCGCGCTCTTGCGGATTCGTAGGAAACCCAACACTTTTTAAACATTTCTGTCAAACGGGCTTTTGCGAGCAACTTTTTCGAACTTCTGCGACAACGGTTGCGCACCTGCCAGGGCCATCATCCCTGTCAAATAATACCATGCGGGACACATTCGTTTTTTCTTCGCGCGCGCACGCCGTCGTCGTCGGCCGCGGGGCCCTGAATAGTAGCCACGGTCGTCCGCATGCCACGAAGTGAAGTGTCCGAACGTCATAGGGCGGGAAGCTGGGTGTGGGTGGTGGCGAAGAGTCGTTTGGAAATTTGGTAGAGCTTGAACCGGCCCCCCCACAAAGTGGGGGTATTGCCCGCCTCCTATGAAAACCCTGGCACTGGTGAGAACGGAGTGTCCCCACGTGCTAGTAATTGCTGTTGTTGTTGTTGTTGTTGTTGTTGCTGTTGCTGTCAATGTCGTTGTCGTTGTCGTTTCGTCCAGACTCTGCCTGCAGGAGGAGACACGCCTGACCTAAGCCTTGGGCCGTCTCGGAGGCCACCTCGGGCCGTCTCGGAGGTCGTCTGCGGCGGGGCAGGCCGCGTCCTGGACGAAGGATAGCAAAAGAAAAAAACAAGGATTGCAAAAAAAACCTAGGATTGCAACCCTTGAACGAAGGATTTTTTTTTGCAATCCTTCGTTCGAGAGACGTCGCGGAGCGCTCGTGGGGGCCGCTTGGGCTATCGTGGGGCCATCTTGGAAGCCTCTGCGGCCGCCGGAGGCGCGAAGAGAGTCAGGCCGGGCATGCCCCCCTGCAGGCGGACTTTGGGAGCAAAACGAAGAGTAGCCAAAGCATGTCCCCGAATGATCAAGCATAGTCGAAGCATCGTCCCCCGACTATCTTTTTGGCTGCTTTTGAATCTCCCTCCTCTGGCCACCGCTCGGACGTCCATTCCCCGTGTTTTTTTGGGGTTTGGTGCGTGGTTTTTGCGCCAGATGATGAAGGATGCTCCTCGATAGTCCTCGCCGAAGGAAAGATGCACACGTCCGAGCGATGCCGAGTCCTGTAAAGGGACAGGCCCGACTGAACCCTCGGTGGGCGGGCTCCGAGGCCGCCCGCGGCACGGCAGGCTGCGGCGCCGCAGGGCTCGGCGGGTCGGGCTTCTCGGGAGGGCCCGGCAGCCTGCCGCGAAGAGGGGCCGTGCCCGTGACAGGTTGTCGGGCCATGTGTCGTCCGCTCCAGGGGGGCCTCGCGGAGGCACGCGAGGGACATTTGATGTCTGCGACTTTGTGTGTCCCCCCCGCCGGGCGATGCGTGCTAGCACGGGCGCCTCCGAGCACCGATGATCGCGCGGTATCTCTGTGCAGCCATTTTGGCTCAGGCCCCTCGGGCTACGAACTCAGGGGGGGGCTGGGGCCGTCTCGGGGCCATCTTGGCCCGTGTGTAGGGCGTGTGGGGCGAACTTGGGAATCTCTCAGGCCCTGTGGGGCCGTCTTGGGGGCCACCTTCAACCTTCTTTGGGAATTCTCGTGGGCGTCTTGGGCCCATCTTGGAGGCCTCTGGGACCGTCGTGGGCGTCGGAGAAAGCTGAAACTTGCTGAGAACCAGCCGGAAATTTAGGATCTTGGCCTCCTCGGGCCCTCTTGGAAAGGCTCTTGGAGCCCTCGTGGGTGGGCTCGGAGGCCTCCAGGGCCGTTGAGGCAAGCTGGGGCCGTCTCGTGGCCATCTTAGCCCGTGATGGAGGCGTCTGGGGCGAACTGGGGGTCTCTCGGGCCCTCTTGGGCCATCTTGGAAGCCATCTTGTGCCCTCTTGGGCGGCTATCTTGTGCCCTCTTGTGCGGCCATCTTGTGCCATCTTGCGCCATCTTGGAGGCAATCTTGTGCCCTCTTGGGCTGTCTCAGAGGCTGTGTCCGCGGCGCGGCAGGCCGCGTCTTGGAGACATCACGGGGGCCTCTTGGGCCCTGTTGGGGGCACTCTTGGGCAGTTTTGCAGCTTTGTTGGGGGGCGCTTGGGGCATCTTGGGGCCATCTTGGAGGCCTCCAGGGCCGTCGTGGGCGTCGGAGGCGCGAAAAGGCGAGAAGGCTGAAACTTTCTGAAAACCATGGTAGCCAGCGTGGACCCCAAACAGCAAGTTGTTGCACGTTGGACGTGTGAGCTACGTCATGTGGTGCAAGCTATGTGTAAAATATGTGATGCAATACGTGCAAACTAGACGCGTCAACGAAACGGCAACGGGCGGCAACGTGGCGAAACATCGCCAGACCCACCCAACGTACAAGCGGCAACGTTGCGGCCACGGGCGGCAACGTGGCGAAACCACGCTGGACCCACCCAGCGCACGAGACAACAACGAGGCGGCAACGGGCGGCAGCATGGCGAAACCTCGCCGGGCCCACCCCAGCGCACGAGGCGGCAACGAGGCAGCAAAGAGGCGGCAACGGGCGGCAGCGTGGCGAAACCTCGCGAGACACACCCAGCGCACGAGGCGACAACGAGGCGGCAGCGGGCGGCAACGTAACCTCGCCAGACCCACCCAACGTACCAGGCGGCAGCGAGGCGGCAACGGGCGGCAGCGTGGCGAAAACTCGCCGGACCCACCCAGGGCACGAGGCGGCAACGAAGCGGCAACGTGGCGAAACCTGGCTGGACCCACCAATTCCCCAGCAAAACAAATAAGAACTCCTCAGTGCAAGCCCAGTTTGGGGGAATTCCATGGATAGTCAATAGCTTACACCACATAGCTTCCGCTTCATAGCTTCCATCACATCGCCTCCACCACCTGGCCTCCACTACCAGAATGCGACAGTTCACTGCTTGGGACCCACTCCGTTTCCTCCTCCTCGTCCTCTTCCTAATTCTTCTTTCTCCTCCCCCTTCTCCTTCTCCTCCTCCTCCTCCTCCTCCTCCTCCTCCCTCCTCCGCGTCCCAATGGATACGTGCAGGAACACGACCCATAGGAAACACGCCTCCTCCAGGAAACATGCTTTCTCCTACTCTTCCTCCTATTGCTCCTGCTTCTCCTACTCACCACATAACTCACACCACACATATTGCACCGGTCGTGTAAGTCGGGGGACCGACGTGCGGACTCATTCGCAATGCGCAGCAACGTGGCCCTATGGACGTAGCACAAAGAGAAACGAAATGTCAAGAATACGGAAAGCTGGGGCCCATTTAATTGACACCCAGCTTTCTGTCAACGTTTCTGTGGACGCGAAGCGTTGCCACATAGTTTCCCTCACATAGCTTACGCCATATATTTCCACTACGTAGCTTCTACCACGTAGCCTCCATCACATAGCTTCCAACACGAGAATGCGAAAACTCACTGCAAGGGACCCGCTCCTCCTTCTCCTCCTCCTCCTCCTCCTTCTCCTCCTCCTCCTCCTCCTCCTCCTCCTCCTCCCCTTCCTCCTCCTGCTCCTCCTTCTTCCATGTCGCAGTGGACACGTGCCGAATCACGACCCAAAGGAAACGCGCTAGTTCCTCAGACTCCTCCTACTCTCAGTCCTGCTCTTCCTTTCGTACTCCCAATCAACCAACCGATGGATCGCCCCCACCGATGAGTGGGAGGCTTCCGAGCGTCTCTGCGGTCGTTTTTCGAACAGCAGGTCTTCATCCTCGGGACCCCCCACAGGCGGCAACGGCCAACAACGGGCGGCAACGAGCCGAAACGTGGCGCATCCTCGGGACCCCCCAACAGGCGACCACGACCGGCAACGGGCCAGAACGTGGCGAACCCTCTGGACACCCCCACAGGCGGCAACGGGCGGCAACAGGCTGGAACGTGGCGAATCCTCTGGACACTCCCTCAAGCGGCAACGACCGGCAGCGGGCCAGAGCGTGGCGAATCCCCAAGACACCCCACAATCGAGCGGCAACGGTTGGCAAGGGGGTGGCAACACGCGGGAACATGGCGAATCCTCGGAGCACTCATCCAATTCCTTAGAAACGCAAGTAAGAACCCCTAAGTGCAAGCACTGTTTGGGCAAACAGGGGATCTATGATTTTGGCTTCCTCGGGCCCTCCTGGGAAGGATCTCGGGGCCATCCTCCCGGGCGGACTCGGAAGCCTCCGAAGCCGGCTTGAGGCGACCCGAGGCCGTCTCGGGGCCATCTTGGCCCGTGTTGGAGGCGTCACGGGCGAATTTGGGGGCTTCCAGGACTCTCCAGGGCGGTCTTCGGCTAGACGCAAGAGTGACCGTGGGTAAGAGTGACCTTTGGTGCGCGGCTTTTGGGGGGCGCGAGGGGGCCAAACCCAAGCGCGCAGGCCGCTGCTATCGCGTCGCGCTCAGCGATCGGGGGGGGCCCCAGTGATCCCGCACCAAAGGTCACTCCGGCGAAGGGTCACTCTTACATGTAGTCGAGGTCTTGGAGGCCATCTTGGGCCCTCCCGGGCTGTCCTGGAGGCCGTCCGAGGTGCGGCGTGCCCCAGGCAGGCCCTCTGGACCCTTCTGCCCAAACCCCGCGTTCTGTCACTCATGGCGCCTTTCGCACGCGCTGCCCGTGGCAATGCAGTGTGCATGACGTCGGGCTCCTGCTTGGCCTCCCGCATCTCACTGAGCACAGCCAGAGCGCACTGCCACTGCTCGCCCTTCCTGCACGCGCTGATCGCCGCGTTGTAGCTGACAGAGGTTCCTGCATGGTAAAAGACGCTAGTACTGACCCGTGACATATTTGCGTTGATTACGTCATTCCGCTTTAACTGCGCCGCACACCTCCTTTGTCACCGACTGCACCGACATCCTTTGTCCGCCCTGCTCGGACATGCTTGCTACAATTCCAGAAAGGAAGGCGCCTGGGTGCAATATCATGAAGAGTATTTCTCTGAGCAACGACAGAGCTCTCTGCCACTGATGGTCTTTCTGGCATGCGCTGGTCGTAGCGCTGTAGCTGACTGCTGGTGACCCGTGGCCTCTCGGCCTCGAAGTCTGTCCGAGATGGCGCGTTGTCTCAGGGCGGAGACGATTCGGGAAGGATTTCATGATGGACGCTGCGCTCAAACTTCGGCTCTGCTGTTGCTGCCTGCGGCTGCAAGGTGCTGAATGCTGCTGCTGTTTGCTGTTTCTGTGTGCTGCCGATGGTGGTGCTTGCTGCGGAATGCGTGCTTCTGGTGCTGCTGTTCGCTGCTTCGGCTTCTCAATCTGCAGGGTGCTGCTTCTCTGTGCTCCTGCTGGTCAGCTGACGCAACCTGCTGCTCGCGAGTGGATCGACGAGGGAGAAGCGATGAGTCAGGTTAGAGGATGAGGTGGGAGAAGCGAGGGCTCAGCGAGGATCAACGAACGAACGAACGAACGACCACCGCTGCGGACACCGTCCGGGACGAGGTAAGACCAGGTGGGCGAGGCCGTGGCTTCAGGAATCTGGTGTGTCTGAACAACATGCGATGCGATACATACATACATGCATGCATACATACATGCATATACATATATATATATATATATATATATATATATTTATGTATATGTATGAAAACATAATCTTGGCGAAAGACACAACCATGTGCAATTGTGAATACAATGTTGTGGCGCCGCTTTCGGTGGAACTTCCTATGGGGCCACGACCCGTGTGAGGGGTTGCGCCACAATGGGGCGGCAGCGCCGTGCGAACCCCGCCACTGGGGGCTTCGGTGGAGCTCCCTATTGGACCAGCGAACCGTGTGAGGGGTGCGCGGGGTGGAGCTCCCTATGGGGCCACGAACCGTGTGCGGGGTGCGCCAAAATGGGGCGGCACCGCCATCTTGACCCTGCAACTTGGGCCTTCGGCGGAGCTCCTTATGGGGCCACGAACCGTGTGAGGGGTGTGCCAAACTGAATCGGCGGTGCCATGCGGACCCTGCCACTGGGGCCTTCGGTGGAGCTCCCTATGGGGCCACGAACCGTGTGAGGGGCGCGCCAAAAAATTATCCTGGCGATAGACCCAACCATATGCACTTGTGAGTACCGCAATTGTGAGTATCTTCGGTGGTGCCCACGAAATGTATGAGGGGCGTGCCGAAATGTGGCGGGGTGCACCACACGAAGGAAAATGATTGGTCTAATTACGAGAGACTGAGCGCGGGTGAATCTGAGCGCGAGTGAGTCTAAGTGTGAATGAGTCTGAGCGCGAGCGAATATAGTTGCACGAATGCGATCATCGCTACGCCTCGTGTACATGTATATGAATGTGAATGGTTCGGGTGTGCCTGTCTGTGTACTCGTGACACTGAGCGTGGCCGCCGCAAAAAGCTTCCGCGGGAACCCCAGCGGCAGCGCCCGCACGCCGCGACGCCCATGTCGGCACGCCCCTCACGAGGATCGCGCCCGCTTCCTTCCCTTCTTTGCCTCCCTCTTTGCCCGCGCGCCCCAAAATCCAAAGCTGCGGGCGCAGCGCGGCGCGGAGTCCCCGCGACGCGCGCCGGTCGCCCCGGAAGGGTCCCAGCGACGCGCGGGGGGTGGCACTGGGGCCTTCGGTGGAGCTCCCTATGGGGCCTCGAAGCGTGTGAGGGGTGTGCCGAAATGTGTGTGTGTGTGTGTGTGGGGGACGCATGCGGGCGGTGGCACTGGGGCCTTCGGTGGAGCTCCCCATGGGGCCACGAAACGTGTGAGGGGTGTGCCGAAATGGGTGTGGGGGACGCATGCGGGCGGTGGCACTGGGGCCTTCGGTGGAGCTCCCTATGGGGCTACGAAACGTGTGAGGGGTGTGCCGAATTGTGTATGGGGGGCGCATGCGGGCGGTGGCACTGGGGCCTTCGGTGGAGCTCCCTATGGGGCGACGAAACGTCTGAGGGGTGTGCCGAAATGGGTGAAGGGGACGCATGCGGGCGGTGGCACTGGGGCCTTCGGTGGAGCTCCCTATGGAGCCACGAAGCGTGTGAGGGGTGTGCCGACATGGGTGATAATTCTGGTGATGATGACGGTCGTGATGGTGATGACGATGATGATGATGACGATGACGATGACGATGATGATGATGATGATGACGATGACGATGATGATGATGATGATGATGATGACGATGATGATGATGATGATGATGATGATGATGATGATGATGATGATGATGATGATGATGATGATGATGATGATGATGATGATGATGATGATGATGATGATGATGATGATGATGATGATGATGATGATGATGATGATGAGGAGGAGAGAGGAAGGGGGAGGAGGAGGGAGGAGGAGGAGGAGGAGGAGAGGAGGAGGAGGAGGAGGAGGAGGAGGAGAGGAGGAGGAGAGGAACGCGGGGCGACGTCTCTTCAAAACGAGGACCCAACACCACAGGATGGTTGGGAATAAAGCGGCTGTGCCATGCTGGCCCTCCCTCTGGGGCCTTCGGTGGAGCCCCCTTATTGGACCAGCGAACCGTGTGTGAGGGTGCGCCAAAATGGGGCGGCTGTGCCATGCTGGCCCTCCCACTGGGGCCTTTGGTGGAGCTCCCTATGGGCCCGCGAAGCGTGTGAGGGATGCGCCAAAATGGGGCGGCGGTGCCATGCGGACCCTCTCGCTGGGGCCTTCGGTGGAGCTCCCTATGGGGCCCCGAACCGTGTGATGGGTGGTGGCGTGCCAAAACGAAACGGCTGTGCCATGCGGACCCTCTCACTGGGGCCTTTGGTGGAGCTCCCTATGGGCCCGCGAACCGTGTCAGGAGTGCGCCGAAATGGGAGCGGCGGTGACATGGGGACCCTCCCACTGGGGCCTTCGGTGGAGCTCCCTATGGGGCTACGAACCACTTGATAGGTGCGCGAAAATAAGGCAGCTGTGCCGGACACTCCCGCTGGGGCCTTCGGTGGAGCTCCTTATGGACCCGCGAACCGTGGGAGGGGTACGCCACAATGGGGCGGCGGTGCCATGCTGACCTCCCACTGGGGCCTTCGGTGGAGCTCCCTATGGGGCCGCGGACCGTGTGAGGGGTGCGATGAGGATGACGATGGAGATGATGACGGCACGCGGAGAGCAGAGGCATGAATGGGAGGAGGGAGGAGTGGGAGGAGTGAGGAACGCGGGGCGCTGTCTGTTCAAAACGAGGACCCAACAACGCATGATGGTTGGGAATTAAAAGAAGAAGGAGGAGGGAGAGGTCCTTGGAGTCGGTGTCGGCGCGGAGCTCGGTATGTTTGTGCGTGTCTGTGTGGGAAGGAGAGGGAGGGAGGGAGGGAGGGAGGGGAACGGTCCTTGACGCCGATGTCGGCGTGATTCTCGTTCACGTGTGGTGTAATGGTGCTCGAGAGTTGACCACGTGATGGTGTTTTTGGCCATTCGAATCCACGTGGGGTCCTTTGGCTGCCCCTTGTCGTGTGTAGGAGCCGGGGCTGGGTGGAGGTCTGGCCTGCGCCGAAGGAGGCGTGCGAGAGCTCCGTCGTCCCAGCGCCTGTGCTGGCCCCCGCGTTGTCGATAGGCGTCTGGCTGCCTCGTGAAACCCTCCATGCCCACCTGGTGGGCGCGTGGTTGGCCACTTATGCGGCCATTTTTATGACTTCTTTTTTTTGGTGTGTCGTCACCGTGGGCAAGGCAAGGACATGAGCAGGCAGGACAGCGAGGAGCCGAGGAACGCGAAAGGGAGGGGGAGTGCAGCAGAAGAACACAACAACAAAGATCTCCCTCCTTCCCTCCTCTGGGTGCTCCTCGCCCTCCCCCCAAGACTTCCGACGGATCGATGTCCTGCCTGCTCCTGTCCCTTGCCTTGCCTTCCCAGCTGTCTACGCGGTGGAACTTCATGCGCTGCTCTGCGCGTCGCGTGGCACGTTGCATGCATTCGACCCACGTAAGGTTCCCCGAAGTCCACGTCGTTGCTGTCGTCGGTGCCAGCACTGCGGCGCGTTGGCGTCGACGCTGCGTCGTGTTGCGACAGACTGCTGTCCGCGTCGTCGCTCTTGCTGTTGTCGTGGGAGTCGTTGTGAGAATCCTCTGCGAGGATAAAAAGAGAAATGGGAGGAGCGAGGAGCAAAATGATAACACCACGGAGGGATGCTTGAGAAGCGGCCTCGGGCAACTTGGGGCAATCGTGGAACCTATTGGGCATCGTGGGCGCTCTTTGGGGCATCGTGAGCTAAACTGGGGCCCTCGTGCGGGGCACTAGGTCTTGCGAGCCGCTTGGGGCGTCCCTGGAGCGTCCTGGGCTGGTGTCGGGGGCCCAGGAGCTAGCTCACTGCGTTTATACCTGGCACGCGATCCGAGCCTCGAGCTAGTACCGCTGTAGCCAACAATGGCGGATCCGTGGGATGCTATCCGAAACGACTTCCTGCGCGATGGAACGCCGCTGCCAGAAACACCGTGCGGGTGTCTGTCCACGTAAGCACCGGCAAACGAACAACTGGCGACGCTGAGGCCCTTAGGCTCGATTTTTTCCACGGCAACTGATGACCTCATCGGCATGCACTGCATATCATCACAGCGGAACTGTGCCACAGCGTGCGATGGAGGGTTGCATGGTGGCCGCCAAATGGTCCATGGGCCCACGCATGAAACGCAACGAGCTAGTACCGCTGTAGCCAACAATGGCGGATCCGTGGGGTGCTATCCGAAACGACTTCCTGCGCGATGGAACGCCGCTGCCAAAAACACCGTGCGGGTGTCTGTCCACGTAAGCACCGGCAAACGAACAACTGGCGACGCCGAGGCCCTTAGGCTCGATTTTT